ACTAACACAGCTTCACAAGAGAGGATAAATTATTGCACTTTAATTTTCTTTTACTCTAAATTTATTATATTATTACTGTTATATTATTATTGATACAGGGCTTGTTCTGTCACCCAGGCTGAGTGCAGTGGCATGCTCATGATTCACTGCAGCCTTGACCTCCCGGGCTCAAGTGATCCTCCTACCTCAGCCTGTCTAGTAGCTAGGCCTACAGGCATGTCCTACCATGCCCAGCTAATTTTTGTATTTTTTGTAGAGATGAGGTTTCACTTTGTTGTTCAGGCTGGTCTTGAGCTCCTGGACTCAAGTGATCCACCCACCTCGGCCTTCCAACGTGCTAAGATTACAGACATGAGCCACCACACTCAGCCCTGAGTGGTTTTTAATTAGCCATCAGTGCCCATTTTGAGTATTTATTTTTGCTCCTGGAAGACTGTCAAGAGCAGGCATCGAAATGGAGTCAAATCAAACAAAAATAAACCAAGATAAGAATGTTCACAAATACTTTAACCCAGGCATGCAGATTGAACAAAATATTAAAGCAAGTATGTGACCAAAAGGGAATTCACCACAAGCTTGCCTCACAGACAGTATGTAAGTTCTGTAGAAATCAGAGTATTCAATCCAGAAAGGCCCTAATAGAAAAGACCAAAAGTCTTTTATCATCCAGGAGCTATATATATGGTTCTTTACTACGGGGATCGTATCCAAACCAGATTCCAAATAATATAAGAAAGCCTCTGCCAAAGGAGGGAGTCTCAGCCTGAGGGAAGACACCAGGGCAGGAAAGGCCAGCTGTGGAAGCACAGAGCTCAAAGGGTTCGAGTGAGTACGGAACACCAGTTCCAATGATCACTGATTCCTTCTGACAGGGACCTTTTAAAAAACTTCTGATTTTTAGAGATGGAGTCTCCCTACCTTGGCCAGGCTGGCTTTGAACTCCTAAGCTCAGGCAATCCTTCTGCCTCAGCCTCTGAGTAGCTGGGACTATGGGTGTACACCATTGCACTAGGCTCTGATAGTGACCTTTTCCAAGTCCCGTTTCTGACACCATTTACATCAACCCAAATAGGAACAGAGAATGGCTCTCTACAAGAAAAACATTTGTTTGGAAACAGAGCATTGCAATGGGAATACACATGCCATAGTAAACCATGTGTGTGGTTGGGGAGGTAAAGGAAGACAAAGGTTTTAAAGGGCTGCAATAATCAATAACAAGGTTGACATCAGTTATGTCCAAGTTTGGACAGGCAGTTGCTGGGCAGATACCCTTATAGAAGTATTTTTGTGTAAAGCTGTGATTGCCCTTGTACAAGGTTGTGATTTTTGTAGTCTTTTGTGATAGCTTTTGTGATCAGGTATATAAGCATGGGAGCCCTCTCTTCATTGTCTTCCCAGCTCTATTTGTCAGAGTTTAAAAATAATTAGTGACTCCGTTTTGATTCTGCCAACCTCCACACAAAACACAGCAGAATCACGCTTCAAACTCTGGATGCAGGTGAGGACCAGCACAGACACAGTTAGCAGTGGGACCCAACCTCAGCTTGCTCCTCTCCCAGGCTTCTCCACATACAGGCCCTTCACCCTTGCCCCATCTCTAGGACATTAGGAAAACCTAGGCACAAATGGGAAGCAGTTGTGAGATACACAAACCCAAATGTCCACAATGTCCAGCAGGAAGTCTTCCTGAAGTCTGCAGCCCCAGTGCTTCCTTCAGATGTGCAGACTATGACCCTACAGCACTCTTCCTCCCAGTAACCGCAGGACTCAATTCCCAAACTCCTTCAGGACTTCACTCTCTCAGTAAAGGCTCCTCTCAGGGGAATATCTAAAAATTACCACCAGCTCCTACATCTTCCTCCACTTCTTATTCTTCCTGACACCCCAGCATTTGGGAGATTCTGGCCCTAGAATAGGAGAACTCCTTTATCCCCTCTCTTCTCACCTCTTCTTTCCCTATTTCTTCCATGTGTGTTTCTGAATTACACTATTCCTGTCAGTACATAAAACTGCCTGAAAGTTAAGTATAGCTACTGATGAGTTACAGAGATAACTCATGTGCATTTACCACCCAGGTGAAAATCAGAGACCTCTGCCAGCCCCCTAAGCTCTTTTACCTCCCCTCAAACAGAACCCATCCCACACAGATGTCCACTAAGCTGACCTCTCCCCATGCCACCTCCTATTTATCTCCTTCCCCTCTACTCCTTCTGGCCTCTTTTCCCTTCTTGTCCTGAGTTCCTCCCCATTTTGGTTTCTCCAGGAGCCTCCCTCATCTTCCTATGCCAAAGCTCCTGGGGCTCTCCTCCCCTTCCCCATCCAGGGATTGGAGAATCCAGAGTTGATTCCTGAGATAAGGCCATTTCATTGTGAAAGCAGCAGGATCTCATCCAGGACCACTTTACATTTAGTCCCCATTATGTCTCTTAAGGCTCCTCTGGCTGTGATGATTTCACAGATTTTTCTTGTTTGTTTGTTTGTTTGTTTGTTTGTGATGGAGTTTCACTCTTGTCACCCAGGCTGGAATGCAATGGCGTGATCTTGGCTCACCACAACCTCCACCTCCTGGGTTCAGGCAATTCTCCTGCCTCAGCCTCCTCAGTAGCTGGGACTACAGGCACGCACCTCCATGCCCAGCTAATTTTTTGTATTTTTAGTAGAGACAGGGTTTCACCATGTTGACCAGGATGGTCTCGATCTCTTGACCTCGTGATTCACCCGCCTCAGCCTCCCAAAGTGCTGGGATTACAGGTGTGAGCCACCGTGCCCGGTGATTTTTCTTGTTTTTAATGACCTTAATGTTTTTTGAGGAACATTGGTCAGGCATATTGTGGAATGTCCTTTAACTTGAATGTGGTTGGGGCTATGGGTGTCGGGGAGGAACAGCACAGAGATGAAATGCCACTCTCAGCACATCAGGGGTAGGTGCTACCCACTTTATTTATCACTGGTGGTGTCAACCTTCATCATCTGCCTAAGGCAGTGTTTCCCGCTTTCTCCTGTCAAATTCTTTTTTTGCTTTCTGCCTTTTCATACTGTTGTCTTTGGAAGGAAGTCACTATGTGCAGCCCACAAATAAGGAATGTTCTGCTACAAAGATTTGATGTATGTGTTTGTGCAAAGTAAGTTTTCTATTTGTTGGTTAAATACCTAGGAGTATGATCACTATGTTGTATGGCGATCATGGTGAATCTATGTTTGATGAGTCTATGTTTACCTTTATAAGAAACCGCCCATATCTTCTAGAGCGGCTGTGCCATTTCCATTCCTGCCAGCAGTGGATGAGGGTTCCTGTTGCTCTTCATCCTCATCAGCACTTGGTATTACCAGATTCTGGAGTTTTAGTTATTCTAGTAGGTGTGTAACGGCATATCATTGTTGTTTTATTTGCATTTCCCTAATGATAAATGACATTGAGCATCTCCTTATGTGCTCATTTGCCATCTGTGGATCTTTTGGTGAGGTATCTGTTCAGACATTTTATATTAGGTAAATTGTTTTCTTATTGTTCAGTTTTAAGGATTCTCTCTATATTTTAGATACAAGCCCTTTATCAGCTTTGTGATTTGCAAATATTTTCTCCAAGTCTGTGGCCTTTATTGATGTTACAACACACAGTAACACATACATATATATTTGCGGCAAAAGAAATGAGACATTTCTAACTGTGAAGGCTTCCAGGCAGACCACCTGAGGGACAAGCAATGGTGGTGGGGGTCGGGGAGCGATGAGAATAACTTATCGTCATATATTTTATACTGTCTTTTGAATTTTCTTGTGTGTGCATTAATAATATTCTCAAAAATAAATTATATAAAAATCCCTTACACTTGTGAAACCCTTGACAGATTGTGTCCAGATCATGTGTTAAGACTCAGATTCTGATCCCTTATTCTAGGACCAATGATGTTCTAACTGAACTATTTTGCTTTGAAATTTCCATTTCTGGAAAAGGTAGTTAGATTATATGAACAAATCCTCACACTCTGAAAAAGCTAAAAGTGCCATTTAAAATGCAAAACTAATTGCCTGAACCCAGGAGGCAGAGGTTGCCATGAGCCGAGATCGTGCCATTGCACTCCAGCCTGGGTAACAAGAGCGAAACTCCGTCTCAATAAAAATAAAATAAAATGCAAAACTGATTTTCTTAAAGCATCAAATTGCTGAGAAGATGGTAATAAATTTCCACACCCCACAAAGAAGGGAAGATTTGGCCTCATAGAGAGCAGTGGCCTCAGAAATGGAGAAAAGGCTCTGTAAGTCCATTGCCTGGAGCCAAGACACAGGGGCCCTGCACTTCCAGCTCTTTGCCCCATGTTCCTCATTTTGTACCCATCTACCTGCCTTCCCTTTTAAATTTTCAAACAAAGCTCTTTATTTCTGACACATTATAATACATATGTATAAGGTGTAATATATGATATAGTGTATATTCACTGTATAAGATGAAACGTTATAAGATGCTGTCAAAGATAAATCACAAATTAAAAATAACCTGTAAACCTCACACCAGAGATATTTTGTTGCATTTCCTTCTAGTCTGTTTTGTATCCGCCTGCTGCTGCTGCCTGAGTGCTTCTCTCTCTGTTGATGAGCACAGACCTCAGTGGCTCCAGCACTCACTTTCCAGATGTCACTTCATTCTCACATCTCCTGAGGGGGCTACTTCCAACTTTCTTTCCCTCCTCACACTCCTCTAATCTTTTCCCACTCCTCACTCTTAGATAATGAGGTTATTTCTTTTCACTCAGAAAAAAAGAAGGACTCAGGTGAAAAGAGCGTCATCATCCTAAGACAACCCCACAGCTCCACCTATCTCCTGGGTCTTCCCACCAGTTATGATAGATGGTCCTCAGCTTCTGTCTAAGGCCACAAGATCCACCTCTGCCTCCCCTACATGAGTTTCCCCTCTCTACTGGCTCATGCATTCCTGCATACAAAATGCTACAATATTTCCCATTAACACAAACAAAACTAAGTAAATAAAAATAAAATCCTACCATAAAAAATCCATTGCCTGAGCCTCCACGCCAGGGAGGAGCAGCCGCTGCCACCCAGGACTGGGCCCTTCGGGAGGAGGAGGCAGGAAGGTGGCGGACAATGCCAGTGCTGCCAACGGGAACGCGGAGATCTGGAAGATCAAGACACTCATTAAGAGCGTGGAGGCGGCCCGCGGCAATGGCACCATTGATCATTCCTCCCAAAGACCAGATTTCACGAGTTGCAGAAATGTTAGCAGATGAGTTTGGAACTGCATCTAACATTAAATCAGGAGTAAACCTCCTCTCAGTCCTGGAAGCCATTACATCCGTACAACAAAGACTCAAACTTTATAACAAAGTACCTCCAGATGGTCTGGCTGTTTACTGTGGAACAACTGTAACAGAAGGAAGAAAGGAAAAGAAAATCAATATTGACTTTGAACCTTTCAAACCAATTAATACGTCATTGTATTTGTGTGACAACAAATTCCATACAGAGGCTATTACAGCACTACTTTTGATGACCCAAGTTTGTATTCACTGTAATAGATGGTAGTGGTGCACATTTTGGTGCACGCCACGGAAACACAAGAGAAGTTCTACACAAATTCACTGCGGATCTCCCAAAGAAACACGGTAGAGGAGGTCAGTCAGCCTTGCGTTTTGCCCATTTAAGAATGGAAAAGCGACATAACGGAAAGTAGAAGAGACTGCTGTGCAGCTGTTTATTTCTGGGGACAAAGTGAATGTGGCTGGTCTAGTTTTAGCTGGATCCACTGACTTTAAAACTGAACTAAGTCAATCTGATATGTTTGATCAGAGGTTACAATGGAAAGTTTTAAAAATAGTTGATATATCATTTGGTGGTGAAAATTGATTCAACCAAGCTATGGAGTTATCAACTGAAGTCCTCTCCAACATGAAATTCATTCAAGAGAAGAAATTAATAGGACTATACTTTGATGAAATCAGCCAGGACACAGGCAAGTACTGTTTGGGTGCTGAAAATACACTAAAGGCTTTGGAATGGGAGCTGTAGAAATTCTAATAGTATATGAAAATCTGGATATAATGAGATATGTTCTTCATTGCAAGGCACAGAAGAGAAGAAAATTCTCTAAGTCCAGAGCAAGAAAAGGATAAATGTCATTTTGCAGACAAAGAGACCAGACAGGAACATGAGCTTATCAAGAGCATGCCCCTGTTGGAATGGTTTCCTAACAACTATAAAAAATTTGGAGCTAGGTTGGAAATTGTCACAGATAAATCACAAGAAGGGTCTCAGTTTGTAAAAGGATTTGGTGGAATTGGAGGTATCTTGTGGTATTGGGTAGATTTCCAGGGAATGGAATACCAAGGAAGAGATCATGAATTTTTTGACCTTGATGACTACTAGGTAGTCGACATGGGTTCAGCAAAATGGGCCTGACTCTCCAGCATCTAACCCAAGGAGCATGCCCATGGTGAAATCCAAACAGATCCCTGCCTTACAATTGGAACATTTCCAGAACTTAATCCATGAGGATTGAATATTGAAAAGAAAACCGAAGCAAAACCAGACCCAACCCTACACTTTGCTTTGTCATGGTGTCGGCACAGCAGCCTACAACTAAGTTCCTAAATGCCACTTTGGGCTAATCTAAAAAAGAATCCCAGTTTTTACTTGTACTCGATGGTGAAATTGGTTGCTCTTGTATTTACAAAAAAAATGATTTTTTTAACCTTCATACATAGAAGCAAAAATACGTTGACTGCTGTAAACCTTCAAAAGTTAATAGAAGTGAAATCGTACTGGTTTGTTTCTTATTTTGGTTGGAGAAAAATTAAACTGCTGCATTTTGCAGTGACCACTTACATGGCATTCTCGGCTTAGACTGCATAAGAAGAAATATGTGTGGTGAGATGTTGGAACCATTCCTCTCTTGGTCTCTGCTTAATATTGAAAGGGTGAGCTAATAGGAGTAAATTTCAACTTCACTCCCTCACGCTACCCCATCCGCCTCCAGACTGGCAGTTTCAAGGATGCAAACTGCAATGCAAAAATCAAACTGCCTCATGAAGCATTTGGGCCAGTGCCCTGTTTACTTCCATCTGTTTGCAGATACATTTGTTTCCAGCATTTGGGGATCCTTTGTGTCAATGTTCTGACAAGGGTCCCCATAACTTTAACCTACTCAAAACCAGTCTGGGGTGGATATGATGGGGCTTCTGTGCTATTGCTTGGATTGGGAGAAGTAAAACACGCAATTTAAGTGGAAGCGAAAAAATAAAAATAAATAAATAATTAGAAATCCATTGTCTTGTTCCATGTCTCCCTCCAACTACTGCCCCATTTCTCTGACACTTCTTATAGAATAATTCCTGAGTCTCATGATGTTTTTTAAATATCAAATGGATTTATGGACAGTGTTTCAAAAGTCAAATACTTCTACAAGACTTGTTATAAACACAGATGTCCCCAATCTTTCATGTCCACCATTTCCTGAATCCCAGAGACAATCTACTTTACTTAACTTGCCTAATTTTTTTATTGTTACATCTGTGCCTCTAAGTAGTGTGTTATAGTGCTGTTTTATTTTTCACTCTTATGTATCATGCTGAGCGGATAGCTCCCTTTCACATATCCCTGTCCTCTCAATATAGTGATTTTACAATTTTGCTTAGCTGGGCGTTCACTATTTGTATTACTATTATGACCATGGAAATGCTATTCACAACTACACTAGGAAATGCTATTCACAAGGATTACTTTCCTTTGTTGAATTGACTTTCTATTTTCCCTGGAATTAGTAAATATTTTATCCTTTCATGTGCTCAATTTCTGTTATACTCATTACAAAATCTCTTCCAAATTTCCCCCCCAGGGCATCTGCTATAGTTTGGATGTGTCCCCCAAAGTTCATGTATTGGAAACTTGATCCCCAATGTGGTCATATTGGAAAGTAAAGCCTAATAGAAGCAGTCTGAGTTATGAGGACTCTGCCCTCATGAATAAATTAATATCATTAGTGTGGGACTGGGCCCACACTAATGATATTGTCCTCTCTCTTGCCCTTGACCCGTTTGCCATGTGAAGACACAGCAAGAAGGCCCCTTCCAAATGCTGGTGGCTTGATCTTGGACTTCCCAGCCTTCAGAACTGAAAAAACAAATTTCTGTTCTTCACAACTGACCCAGACTAAGGCGTTCTGTTATAGCAGCATAAATAAACTAAGGCAGTCTCCATGAATATATACAAGCATGTCCTGTATTCTACCAACCTCATCTTTATGAAGACATTTCCCTCAGTCCTGCCACACGGGGACTTGTGCATGCACATCTGGACTGACTTCCAAGACCTTCACCTCATCCTGGGCATCCCTCTGCCTCTCTCTTGTGCTGGCTCTCCTGTTGCCTGGATCCCATGTGTCCCCTTTTTTGGTTTTCTCCATCATTTTTGTTTCTCATTTCATCTAGCAGTACCCTAAGGGAACTTGAAAGTAAAATTTGAAACCCTAAGCTTCTGAAAACGTCTTTAGGCTACCCTAGCACTTACTCCAACCTGGATTTGGTATAGAATTGTGTGTTGAAAACATTTTTCCTAGGAATTTCCATGACATTTTATCAATATTTTTTAGTTTCCAATGTTGTTTTTCTTGCCTTTTGATGTGTTTGGGATTTCTTCTTTTCCACCCACCTTCTAAAATTTCATTGTGATGTATCTTGGTGTGGGTGTTTTTATCTATTATCGTAAGAACTTGGTTGGGGTCATTACAAGTTAAATTTTTGTCATAAACTTGAAGAAATTTTCTTGATTTTCAATCATTTCTATCTTTCCATCCTTTCAGAATTTGTATCATTAAGTTGCTGGGAATCTTTGATTGATAGCCGAGTATTTGTGTAGTTCTTCTGTCTTTCTTGACATTGCTTTTCTATTTTTAATATCTAGTGGTAGTACAAATTTGCTCTTCCAACTCATCTATTAAATTACTTATTCAAACGATCACTTTTTATTTTGCAAGAGTGCTTTTTGGTTCTCTGATTGTATATAATTTTGTATAATCCTATTCATCATTTGTAAATGCCATATATTACTCTATCTTTTAGGTATTATTGAGAATAGTGGTACTGCACCTGTTAGATCTGGTTATCTGCTTTCATGATACCATGAACTTTTCTTCACCACACTTAGCTTAGTAGTAATTTTATATTTATCTTTGTATGTTCTGCTAAATGTGCATCTCCTTCATGACAGTGCAAACATCAAATTGCCAGCATCTTACTTTTGCTCTTCACTGTATCTTCAGTGTTTAGTAGATCACATGGTTCATTAGAGGCCTCAAAATACATGCTGGATGAGGACATGCAAGTGTGGTTGAGCAGGAAAGTCAGACTTCCTTGATGAACTGCCCCTTGATGTTCTCCTGAGCACTGAATCTCATGACCTCCTGTCATAGAACATTTAGGGACATTGAAAGAGTTCACTGGCATGGGATACAGAGTCATATCCACCACCAGATGGACAGGGAATCAATGAAAGATGATTGCATTGAGAGAAAATTCCCTGGGCCCACTCCAGCTCCACCACCTGCTTCACCTCTCTGAGTCTCCCTTTCCCTGTCTATACAAAGGTATCACATACTGGGTTTCCCATGGATTTGCTTTGAGGATCAAATTTTACTTTCTCAGTAAAACACATGGTATTATACCTTGGGGTATACTAAGTGTTCCACTACTCATAGCTACTATCCCTATATTGATTATAGCATTTGGGTTGTTTCCATCATTTTGAATTTGTAAACCAAAATTCAAGAAACATTCTTGAACATATATTTTTTAAAATGTGTGTGGTTATCTTCTTAGGAAAAATTCTTGAAAGGGAAATATCTGCATTGAAATGTAAGCCCATTTATATTATTAACATGTTTTGCAAAAGTCCCCTTAAAAATTTATCCTCCAGTTTTTCATCAGCCTGTATGACAGTGTATTTTCCCTGCCTCTGGCTAATATGCTCATCATTTACTTTCACATTTGCCAAACTGATAGATTTTAATTTTCATTCCCATTTCTAATTTCACATTCTCATTTTTCCTCACATTCATTAATCATAGAGTATATTGTCTGATATTTGGTGTATTCTTTTCCATATTGCTTTCTAGTATTCTTTATT